GTTCGAGGTGACTTGTGCAGCTTGGTTTAGTGGGTGTTGTCGCTGCCCATGGCAGGGGGGCTGGCGCTCAGTGACGTTTAAGGTCCCTTCCAACCCAAACCATTTTATGATTCTATGACTTCTTTCTTTCCTTTCTCTCCCGGGGCAGGTTTCCATTTCTATATAGTGAAATGCTGGTATGTGTAAATCAGCTTTTGAGAAGAAAGCTTGCACAGAGGGACCGAGGGTCACCTTGCTCAGGAGCTCCTGGGCTCTGACAGGCAGTCTGCAAACCCGAGCACAAGACCTGTCTGCTTCCATCTTTCATTTCTCCAGAGTTTGCCCTTAAAGCTGGGTCATAATATTTTCTCTGTGGCTGTGTTCTTGAAAATGAACCCCTTTTTTTTCTATTTTCTTTATGATGTGGGGTGCTTCTGTTTTCACTCTGACCTTGACTTTACTACTAGCAGCCCCAACCCATTTTTGGCTGAAATCACAAACTTGCTTTGGAACCTAGTTTATTGTTTGTTTGTTTGTTTGTTTTTTCCTTAATTTTTTTTTTTTTATAAAAATGTTAATATTGTGAATTTAGGCACATTTACTTATACTTGCAAAATCCCCAGCTTCACCAAACAGGTGTTTTTTGCTGGTGAAGGAGCAGAAGCTGCTCAGGTAGCACTGGGAAGCTGTGAAGCTCAGGACATGTCATAGCAAGGTTTCATTCCACACACCACAGAGGATATGTTCACCCACAACAACACCTTTTAAGCACCACCAAGCACCTGAGCACATTGCTTGTCCAGCAACTTACACTCCATTTGTAGGGGTCCCAAGCGTTGAACCATCCTGTGAAATTGAGGGGTTCATAGCCCTGCTTCACCAGTATTATTGGAGTTGCCAAGTCCCTCCCTGCTGGATGGGTCTTGAGATACTCCTTGGCTGAGGCAACAGCCTCGTTCCTCTCGTACGTGTTGGAGCCTTTGCCAACCCAAAGGAAAATCTGCAAGGAGAGAAGGTGTTGAAGAGCAGCGAGCGGTGAGGAGCGGTGCCGACACGGCTGTTTGCTCTCCTCTGCCAACTGGAGCAGAGATAAGACTGGAAATGTTGTTTCCCAATAGTCCCCTGGGATTTTGATCCCAGATTTACTCCCAGCCAAGAAAGATTTTGCTTTTGAGACAGGCATAAAGCATAAATACTTCAGGAAACAGCTTGTACATGTGAAAGCAGCAGAACCCAATCCTTGCATGGGCCAAAACTCCCAATGCCTTGGAAAGCAACCCCCCCGAGACAGTTTCCAATAGTCTAAAGCAGGTTCTCATCACTGGTACTGGGAAATGAGGGGGAGGGTTTCTAGGTGCCACCCCCTCGTATGGGCTGGCAAAGACTGGAGCAGGTCCAACTTTTCTCACCTTGGAGCAAGGCATGGAGCAGGTGACTCAGTTCCCTCCTTTCTGACACAGGGCTAGCAATACTACCTCACTCCTGTGCTTTGTACCTGGGTGAGAGGGACTGGACATACACCTGCTTGTCTGACCAGGCATCGTGAAGGGTTTGGAGATGGGACAGAAGGCATATTGACCTTGGTTTCACATTGAATGGTGGATTCAAACCAATTAAGCCATAACCTGTTTGAAAATATGTCTGGGGAGAAAAAGAGGGGGACTCTGTGCTGACCTCTTCCCATGTGTCTAGCAGCATGACATCATCTTCATCCAAGTCTTCCTGGCAGAAGCCCACCACCTCTGTCATGATGAATCGGCCCGTCTGGTTGGAGCACTCGAAGAGGCGAGGCTGGTAGTGTGTGACCTGCTCTTGAAACCTTCCTCATGCATGGCAAAGAAAGAAAAAGCAAGAGAAGATGGAAACCTTTCCCTTGTGGTTTACTGAAGGGCCCTGCTGCTACTTGTAATGACCTTGATGGAAGAGGTGGGAAGATGGTAACAGTCATCTGAGGGTCTGAAAGTCAGCAGTGTCAGGTCTCAGGGGACTGTTGGACCATTTTAACAATTTAAAAGGTAAATTTTTCCCCATCCAAAGAAAACAAAAGCAGAATGTTTCTTTCACTATCTCCGTAAGCCAAGTTCATTGTATCAGGTGAAAGCCACAGCAGATCACCTGGTTGCAAAGGAACCCATCACCTGCCCAGGGAGCTGGAGAAATCCAGGCTGTTCAAAAGCAGATTTAGTTTCATGAATTTTCTGGGGCTGCCCATAAAGCTAATAATGGCTGGAGATGGAGCATGTGGTTCATGTTGCCCTTGTGGCAAGATATGGGATGGATTTACTGTGGGGAGAGGAGGACGCAGCACACCCTTGTCTGCAGAGTTTGGATCTGCAGCTCCTGCTTCACTGAAGGCCTGATCCAAAATCTAGGAAAGAGGCATCTTGGTGTGGTTTCTGACTAAGCTTTTGGTGATATTCTGACCTTGTCCTCTCCTCAGTGAGGGCATAGTATCAAAGTCCTCACCCACCTTCCTGCAAAGTTTTGATCCCCTTCTTAACGCTGCCTGGCCAAGCCCATAGGAGCGAGCAGGTCACTGTTACCTCTTTTCACTGGCGTAAGGTGCTTTGCCTCCCAAGGCTTCCCAGAATTCTGCTGGCTCTTGTCCTTCCAAAATGGTGTGCTTATCCCGCTTGGAAACGATGTCAGCCACCACTTTTGCCATCTCCCTCTCATCTCCGCTGCACCCCTGTGTTCAGGATGTAGGATGGAGGTGGGGTTAGGGACAGACTGGCAAACCCCACCCATGGGGAAAAGCCCTCTTGGTCTAACCCTCCTCTGGAGAGTTTTGGACTTGTTTGAATGCTTCAAAGGGTCTCATCTGAGCTGTTCACTCAGAATCCATCTCCAGTCCTTGAAGGGACATTCAGTGCAGCCAATGGTATCTAGAGCAAAACTCATATAATCATAGAACACTTTGGGCTGGAAGGGACCTTTAAAGAACACCTAGTCCAGCCCCCCTGCCATGGGCAGGACACCTCCCACTAGACCAGGTTGCTCAAAGCCCCACCCAGCCTGGCCTTCAGCACTTGAAATGATGGGGCATTTGCAGCTTCTCTGGGCAACCCTTCTGCTTCAGTTTGATCTACCTCCTGAAACACACCACTAGAACAGGATAAATCATATGCTCTAATCCCAGGTAATTTCTTACAGCCAGAGAACCTGGAGTGAAAGTTGCTCAAAGCCCCACACTGAGGTGAGGTGAAGCCAAAGATGGGTCACTCTTGTTTAAAGAGGGCTGTCTTAGTTACTGCTGAGCTCCCATGAATGGAGCCTTCTGGGTGTGCCTTCCTCCATTGAAATCAACGCGCTGCCTGCCCAGGGCTGTGCCTGCAGAGCTGGGTGGAGGTAGGAGCCCCAAACCCACGTTAGTCATTTCGGGTCCCATCGCTGCCCCCCTGGCCTCGCCGCCGTCTCACCTTCCCACACCACAGGTAGCAGACCTGGCTGGTTGCCAGCAGGAAGACATCGTTGGAGTTGAGGGAGGAGGCCCGAGCCGGCACCTCCGTGGCCTTGGTGTTCATCTCATCCGTGCCCCTCACCTGGAAGAGGCGGACGGCCGGCTCGGGGGTGCTGTGCTGAGCCCGGCTCGTGCCGCCCTGCGGGCAAACAGAGGGGGGGTTGGCACTGGGAGGAGAGGGGAACCTGCAATGCCCAGGGCAGCTGGTCTCAGGAAGAACGCCCTTGGAGTCACAAGCTGCCGTGCTGCTGCAACGATGGACCACAGTCCTGCACACGGCAGGTGAGGAAATCCAAACACCTTCTGGTTCCACGCCAGAATAAAACCCAGAAGTCAGAGCTTCTCCATTTCACCCTAGTTATTTCAACTCACGACCAGCTCCTATCAGGATGTTCAAGTTCAATGTGAACAGATCTCAATGTCCACAAAGCGTTTGCCATGTAAACTGGGCAAGGCAGTTGGACTCAGGTTTCTAGCTGCCCTCAGCATCTGCCACAGAAGTTGTGTGGTGGGACCAGCACTGAGAGCTGATGGTAAATCCCCTCTTTCCCAGCTGTTTGCAATATCTCCACCACAGATGCTGGCAGCCAAAGCAGCAAGTGAAGTGGGTCGGTGGTTAATATGATATAATTCAGGCAGGCACAATTCAAATCATGCTTGATTTTTTTTTTCCAACTGTTTGTAGGATGTTTTGGAGAACCCTCTGGATAGTGGTATCTGTAATTTACAGGATGATTGTCTTATTGTAACCCTGCAAAATATTTTGGGACAGAGTTGGGAAGAGCATCACACATTAACACTGTGTGAAGACAGCTGAGCCTGGGTCAGGCCAGGACTGTGTTTACACATATGGTGTTCAGGCTACTTAGGAAGTAGTAGAAATGCTCCACCACTTCCATCTGCCAGCCCATGCCGACCTGGCAGGCTCCCTTCCTGAATATCAGCCCGTTTTCCTGGACCGTTTCCATCACAACTGCCAAGCCATCGCTGGTGCTTGCACCTCGCATTGCTCACACAGCCACCTTACCTCATAAATGACCAGCTTGCCCTTGAAGATGGCCAGGAAGTGTGTGGGCTCCTTGCCCATGGTCACGCGCACCTGCACAGCCTCGTCCCCACACTTCTTGTCCAGCTGGATGGCGTTGAGGGCACAGGCAGTGACTTCATCCACAGAGGCATGGCGGCCCTGGGCAAGGAGGAGGTGCCACAGGCAACGTCATGAGATGAAGGGCAGAAAGCTCTGCACAGTGCAACATCTTGCCAACCCTAAACCCTGCTTATAATATTGTTAGCTCAGGGTTTAAACTACCAAATGTTTAAATGTCACTAGTTTTGGAGAGTTTAGCATCCCCTTACAAAGCTTCTCTCTGCATTCCAGGGGAGGTAAATACTCTTTGGGATATTCATATGCTCACATGACTCCAGGAGCTGAGATTTAGGGGACCATATGAAAGACTGCAGAGTTTGACCTCAGCATTGTAAGCCCCATAATCCTTCACTATTTCTGCCTGAAACTTCTGAAAACTATTTCTGACTGAAACTCAGTCTGATGCCAGCCTGGGCCCAGTGTCCACGCTGCCTCCAAAGCACAGCTTGGGAGCTTTGCAGTGGACAACTGATGAGCGAAGGGCACGTGGGTTCTTCCGGATGCTTGGGTTGAGATTTTTGTGTGGCACTTGCTTCCTTCAGTTATTAGGCTTCCAGCAGATGCAGCCCAGTCCCTTCTGCTTCAGTTTGACCTACCTGCCACATGTAGAGGACATAGTGAGGCCTGCCTGATCTCAGGTAGGTGTACAGGACCAGGTAGCAATCACCCCCGTAGAACTGCCCGTATGTCTTGGGATTCACTGGCTGCATTTCCAAGTCTTCAATCCTCCACACCTGGAGAGAGAAACACCTTGGTGAGCAGCAGTGGAGTCAACGTGAAGACAGAGCACAGCTCCTTTTCTAGCAGACCACTGAAGTTCAGATCTTTTGTTGGAAAAATACTCCTTACTCTCTCCTGGATGACAGCTTATGCTGGCATCAAGACTGATGCCAGCTTGATCAAGATTTTGGAGGCAAAGCCAGGTCTCTCCAGTGACTGTCACAATACCTGTGCCATTAATGGATTTTCAGCAGTCAGTGGCCCTCAAGGAGGACCAGCCTCCAGGTCTTTCTCAGCCCCACAGCCCCTCTCTCAACCAGCTCCATCTCCCATGGGAGGCCCAAAAAAGGGAGAAGGGGCTCTGCTCTGCAGGAGTTTGGGTTACATGCACCGAACTGTGAGAAGAAGATTAACTCTATCAGTCTCATGACCCACATGCATGGCAGGAGAGGAGTCATCTTGGTGGCTGCTTTGTTCTACTGGTCATGGGTTGGAGGAGAAATGCCCCCGAGCTACCATAGCTCCTGCTTTAGAGTTTGCAAGCACTTTGCTCTGGCTGCAGCCATGCTTCCTTGGGGAGGGTAGGTGGGCACAGCTTCATGGCTTATACAGCTGCTGTGTGTGAAAAGGCAGAGATGTGTGGAAATACACTGCTGATTGCATCCCCTGTTAGCAAAAGGGGCTCTCTCACCTCTATCTCCCCGGAGGCATCATCCACCATCCTCTGCTCAGCAGCCAGCTCTGGCCTGGCGTGGAGCTGCGTGGCGTCAAACTTCACCTGCTCCACCTTGGCTGCATGCACCAGCAGAACAAAAACAAGAACCCAGTGAGTGCACAACAACACACAAACCCTCTGCAACACCCTCGTGCACAATCCTTAGACACGTGAGAAAAACCTGGAAGGCAGTTGCAAGAAGCCAGACTTGCCAGCAGTAAACCAATGTTGATTTTGGAATAGGCAAGAGCTCGTGCACTCCAGTGTTGTTCTACTACAGGCTGGCAACTGGCCATAGAGCACGTTCCAGTGAGGACTGGCTCACAAAAATATTAGTCTCCTAATTGAACATTCATAATTGTTTTCCAAATCTATCCATATTTCCCTCTTTTTAAAATATTGCTTTCAGAAATAAGATTGCTACATTACTCCAGCTCATGATGAAGAGAGAGAGCATGGACAGCATGGAGAGAGAGGGAGGTGGAGAGAAAAGAGAAATTGCAAGGAAAGAGATTTGTGGCTCTCAAGCTGTTATTGATGGAAACATTCATCATCTCTGCCACCATCCCATCTTTCATCCACAAGTTTTCTCTCTTTGGTATTGTTGACTCTCTGGGGTTAATGCATTGTACTATTCACTTCAGCAGCGTGATAAACTGAGGCACCATTTACACCTGGTGTAAATACAGAATAATTCCATTGACGTCAGGAGGGTCTTGGGTGGATGCCAGTGTAAACGAAAGCAGAATGTTGTCTGACACTTCCTTATCAGGTTCAGCTTTAGCCCTTTATAAAGAAAATGGGAAGTTCTGCAAGTGTGGAATTTTGCGAGTTTTTCAGACATGAGTGATCTTCTGCCAACTTCTACATTTGGAGTGAGAGGCAGTTTGGTTTGTGTAAGAAGTCTCAGCACTTCTGAATTTTGTTCAGTTCCTGAATCCTTTGCATCTATTGAAGAAGGTGGAAAATCCAAGGCAGAAAATCCGAGGCATGAGAAGAATGTGCATTAGATTTTCAAGATACTGAGGGTAGGAGACAGACAGTGTGAATGATGTTCCCTCAGCTGTTGCTTAGCACAGGTAGGAAAGCTAAGTCCAAGACAAACATGCTCACCAATTTTGCCAGTAGTGTAGACTTTGCCCAGTCCTTGTGTTTCATTCTTCTCTGTCCACCTCTGGAAGAGCTGTTTAAACATGGCTGACTCTGCTCCATCGTTGATGACTTCAATATTGGTGGATGAAGGATAGCCTTTGGCTTGGATAAAACCCTAGTAGGGTTGAAGAAGGACATTAGTGGGCACACACCAACATTTTTACAGACATGAGAAGAGGAATGTGGGTCTGAACCAGCCTAATGAGTGAATGTTCCTCAGGGAAGACAGTGCTGTGACCCAAGGCAGGATTCAGAGTTATAAACGGAGGTGTCCACAAGCTCTTGCTGTAGCATCCATATTTATTTCTGTGTTTAGTGGCCTGAACCCTACTGCTACAGGCTGATCACCTGGATCACAGCCTATATTTAATCTTTACATGGTGTCTAAGTCTTGAAGAAGATCTTACTCAATGGGTCTAACAAAAAGCTGCCTCCTCTCTCTCTCAGGCAGCTCCATAGATGGGTTCTGGTGATGGATCTAGGAGTAGAGGGAGCGGTGATGGCATGTGCCTGTAAGCAAAGAGCCTAGTTCAGTTCTTTGCTTGTCTCCAACCTTTTTGTCCCTCTCTAACAGGAAGACTGTCCTCCCTGCAGCATGCTAGAGAGCGTGGATGCCAGGGTAGTGAAGGAGGTAGCTAAGTACCTCAGAGCATGATGTGTGCTCTAAAGGGATCAAACTCTCACAAATTGCTATTTTTTTCCCCATTTTTTTCCCTAAACCCAAATTATTTCTTTCCAATAGAGGCTCTACTGAGTTAAAAGAGTATTTCAACAGATGTGCTTGATACCATATGAGAGGGAAGAAAATTGTCTGTATCCTGCCACAATGCCAAAGTCATTGCCCCGTTATTGGGAACTGCTGTCATATTTATCTCATCAGGCTCCAGGACGACCTGGAGGTGCAGTGCTGGCAGCTGTGGCTCAGGGGAGGAGCCTGACTGTGGGCTTTTGAGTATTCATCTTCTGCTGGAAATACTGCAGCCGTGTACTGCCCCTGGGGAAAAGCAGAGCAGATGGTCCTCCCATCCCTCCCACCTGCCACACTGAACCAGAGAGAGCTTTTGTTCTACATGTGTAGCTCAGGGCCAAAATTTGCAGAGCTGATTGCCTACTAAAAAGCCTCTGAGTTAAGCTTTTGAGAGGAGCACAGAGGACTGGGAGATAAGTTTTAAGGCAAAGTTTGTTTAAGATTTCCTTCTCCAAGACAATAGGTGCGATTGGTATTGAAACTGAGTGTCTCCAGGTAAGACGATGTTGAAGGTGGGGCCACTGAAGTTCACTATCTTCTAGTAGCCTCTCACTGAAGATAAGACTGCTCATGGTCCTCACATAAGTGAATGGATGAATTAAATCTGAGTTCCCTTGTAGCATTCATTTCAACGTGTCAGCTTGTAAAAAAAAAAAAAAAACCCTACCAAATTCCTCACTCACTCAGGCTCCCCTAAGGCTAATATTTTTCTGAAAGGAGGTGTTGAGGACTGTTTCTCCAGAAAATAACTGCATGGCAGTTCATCTAGAGGAGCAGCACAGGTGCCAGGGCACTATACTGGTCTGCACTCCCTCAACAGGAGCCCAGGTCTTGCCTCAGGTTGGCCAATCTGCCCTAATAGCAGTCAATAACAGATCTCTTTCCACCCAGTGGAAGCATCCTGTATCATCCTCAAATTCACATGCAGAACCTGGGCCTGGACCCACTGGTGTTGTGAAAGATTTGTGACCTGTTTATGGACCTGCTGACCATGTATTTGTCTAATCCCATCTTGACTCTCTGCCTCTACCATCTCTTTCATCTAAAAATTCCACAAGTCCACCATTTACTGCATAACAAAGTATTTTCTTTTGTACTTCCTTTTCTTTAATGAATTTCTTCTTAGTTTTAGTGCCAGGTCTTACTATTAGTGCAATTTGGTGATGAACAATTTTGTGATTACATCATCACACCTCCCTTAAACATTTAACCTCTCTCTCTGTTATTACACAGACCAGCTCCTCAAGACCTACACTTAACTGTAATTAGTGGCCAGTGCTAGATTAGCACTCAGTTAATGACATTGTGTGCCCTACATTACAACTCACCACAGCTCGAGTGAAGGCTGCTTTTTTCTCTTCTGGGCTGGAGGCTTTTCCTCTCCAGACGTAAATCTTAAAACCACCTTGGTCTAAAATGTAGCAGTCCTGAGGTGAAGCAGAAAAAATTGATGTAAAAAGTGCTGGAATGGCAAAGGTCCTCATTTGTAGCTTATTCAGGTTGGATCCCTTTTGAAGATTTAGGTTAGATGTAGAGCTAGCTCATTTCCTTGCCTTGCATAGCTCTAACCTTGCTGCAACTATTAGCAGAGGCAACAGAGGATGGATTAACTGTGGTTCATAAAGGGACTACAACTCCCATCAGCTCTGCAGGGCAGGGGTTCATGGGTCTGCTGACTTTGTGAGCACACCTGACACAGGCAGCTGCTTTTTAACTGTAATCAGTTAAAACATGTATTTTTCTTTGGCATTGCTCAAAACTGGTCATTAGTATCTCATGAGAGATATTCCCAAACCAATAGAAACATCAGCTCCAAAACGCTCCAGGAGAAGCCTCTGCTGAAATACCATCCTTCAGCACTGCTGGTGGTGTTCATTTATGCCAAATCTGCTACCAGAGGAGCAGGAAAAGTCCAGGTTAGATATCTTCTGCATGACTGCTTTGTGCCCCTGCCCTGGAGCTGTTGCATCGTTATGAACACAGCAGGATCCCAAAGCCAAGGGGGATGAGCTGGCTGTCAAGCAGCCTGTCTCCACTGCTGAGAGCTGATGCTCCAAATTGACAACCCACTGTGTGACCAAAGCCTTCTCATTTTTCAAACTGAACCTTGACAAGAACAGCAAAAGCTTCCTAGGCCTGTAAAAGGAGGCTGAGATTTAACAAGGCTGGCAGCAGGGTGAGCAAGGCAGCTGGAGCCCTGCAGCACAACACTGCTCTGCAACAGGCTGGCTTGCTCTGCAGAGAATTAAGGATGAGCAATTCTCTGCCAAATTTTAGCCAGAAGGATATTAGTAAAACCTCTATTTTCTGAAAGCCTTTGGACAGATGGCCTGTAAGGAATCTCCTTCCAGGGTGGGTCACTCACGCCAGCCACTTGCTCCAGCAGGAAAGCATATCTTTGTGGTTCTGTGAGCAGAGTGTTTGTTTGCTCTGAATTCTGCAGATGGAGGGCTACCCCTGAACATCAGGTATGAAGAAGCCTTATTTCCATCTGGAATTTATTCCTGGCCTGCAGCTCTCCTTGACTGTGGTTGCCAGGCTAACATGGTCCTTGGCTGAGAGGGTCACTTGGCCATCTCTCATTAGAGCAGCTTCAACACACCACCTGCCTCTGGCCACTGAGGTTGTAGCAGGGCCAAGCTGTCCTGTTTTTAGAGACACCTGATGATGGAAGGGCTGACAATTTGCAGGAAATGGGGTATCCCATCAAGACAGGTGCTCAGCTGAAAATAACCCACCCCACAGCATCCTCTTCTCGCTCCAAGGCCGGATGGCTTTCCCTTTGCCTTACCTCATGCTGGAGCAGATCCTGCGTCAGGGGCCGGGTGGCTATCTCCTGTACCACCAGGTCATTGTCCTTCTCATAGACACTGAAAGACAGGGTCACCAAGCAGTCAGGCTTCACAGTGCTCCCCACGAGAAAGGGCAGAGCTCAGAGCCCACGCTGGGACTTACTGGTAGAGCCGGACGTTGGCTTTCTGCAGCTCGTCTGCTTTGGCATCTGGGATGGCATCTCGGAGCTCCCCGCGCCGCTCGCCCAGCACCATCCTCATGATCTGCATGAGGTCTGGGGAGTCCTTCTCGTTGTCAATGATGCCAATCTGAGCCCGGCCCCCTCTCTCGCTGTCCCTGATGCTGCGAGCCAGCGCGAGGCCCTGCAGAAGGGTGGGCAGGGGGTAAGTCCTGCTGCAGCAAGAAACTCAGCGTGCCTCAGACCTGCAGCAGTGACTGAGCACCAACAGGCCAGGCAGGGTTACCACAGTTCTCTGAAGCTTCTTCTGCCCTCAAAATTGAGCTATTGAAAAAGGGGATGTGTCCCTAATGCCTGACTCTTAACTAACTCTCAGGGAAATATTGTTTATTTCCCAGGCAGGGTACAGCCACACCAGGCATTGCCTACATCTGTATCTACATTAGCAGATCCAATGATCTTGTGAGAGGGTCTGGGAGAGAGACATGTGCATGCTGTGGACAATGGAGCTGGATATTGCAGAGCTGTAGGACCCTGGGTGCCCCCGGTCACATTTTATATTGGAAAGTTCCCAGTAGTCAAAAAACGATGGATGCTTTCTGTGAAAAAAGCAGCATGAAAGCCAAGCAACTAATTAGGTTGATATCTCCATTTTCTGTTGAGTGTTTTGTTTACTCCCATGATTCTTACAGCAATAGCTTTGAAAGGGAACCCTCTGTAAGACCTAGGAAATGACCTGCTTGACTGCCAGGCCTGAGATGAACCATGGCCTGCTCCCACAGCAGCCATCCCTCCAGCTGCTCCAGCTCCTCAGCATCCTGAGGGTTTCTTTGTCTCTTCACTCTCCATTGGATCTTCTACTTTAGCCATTGTGTCCTAGAAAATTGTCTTCCCCGTGAAGCTTCTCCCTCTCCTAGCTCATCAGGTGACACCATGTGAGGAGCAGTCCCACCTGCCTTTTAAAGTGTATAATGACTGGCTAGGAGTTTGGCTGCCAGCTTTCCTGATGGCCCATTGATGTGTCTTGCTTCACGACATCTCTGTGTCTCAGTTCCTCTATCAGTGAAATAAGGAAAATGACCTTGTGCCCTAAGGCAAGTTACTGGTTTTATTGAGACTTTCACTGTGCAAATCCTGAGTTCTGTTTCTCTGCTTTTTTTTTTTTTTTTCCCAGGCATCTAAAGATACTGTGAGTAAACCAAGTGGCTTTTGCCTGTACTCACCCTGGATTTCTCAGCAATGCTGCAGCTGGGTCCATTCCACTGGATCAGCACTTTCCCGAGGTCCAGCAAGAAAACATCACCCTTATTGAAACTGTCCCAGGAAAGTGCCACCTGTCATGAGGAGATTAAAGTGTTAGGAAGACCAGGGAGAGCAACAAGAGCTGCAGGAGACAAGTGACAGCTATTAAGAACTTGCCCTTGGGGATGTAACAACTGGTCTGCAATGACATGCTCATTTTTCTGGCATTCAGCTATTCACTGAGCCCAGTGGCTTCTCATGATAATACCAAGCTCCTGAGTGAGGTCTTGAAAACTATCTTGTCCTTGAGCAGAGACAAGCTGTCTAGCAGCCAAACCTGGTTGAAAATGGGTGTAGGTGAAGAGGCAAGGGAAAATGATCCATAAGGAGAGAGGACTCGTCTTCTTACCTCTGTAGCTGACACATGCTTCTTCCCCTTGACATGAAGAAGACGCTTGATGTTGTACATATTTGTCTCCACATGCTTAAATCCTGAAGCCACTCCTCCCTTCTTATAGCTGTTGTGTACCAGGGAATAAGGGGATAGTGCTGGTTAGAGAATACCTCCCTCTATCCCCTGAGAACATCTCAGGCTTTTCATGACAACTGAAAAACCCAGAGCCAATGCAGTTTCAAAGTGCTAACAATGGAATGTCAAATGCTGTGTTGCCTCATGCTACCTTCATAGTCCCTGGCCAAGCCAGGACTCATGGTGTCCATCCATCTGTTATGGGTGTTGTGTTGCTGTTCTGCATCTTGTGAGCATCTATGTAGGTGAACATGTAAGCCAGGGATAGCAATGGAAATGTAACACAATCAAACTGAAAAACTATTTAACCATGGCAATGACACCTCAGAATTTAAATATTCTGTAAAACTTCAATGAAAAATGGTCCCTCAAGGAAGTCTCAGAGCCTTTTCAATGGCTTTTGAGCAAGTCTGACCCACTTCCAGATACCCTAGACCATTTTAGAAAACAGATCCAACTGCAGTAATAATTGACACAACATGATTGTCATTTATGGGAAAGAGACAATTACTGACAGTATTATAGTTTTTGCCACGTGAGTAATACATGTATTTTATCATAGCTTGGAAGAGATTTGCAAATGTGGTCAGGTGTGTGGGTGATTCAGAGTACTTAAGACGTATTTGGCTCAGTTGAACCTATCCACAGAAGAATGTTGTGGTGATTAGTCTGCCTGCCAAGGTGAGAAAAGAGGCTGCTTTAATTTCTCATTCTGCCTCAGACCTCCTTCTTGACCATAAAGATGTCTTTTAGACCAAGATGAAGTCTAACTCATACTGATTTCAGACGCAGGTAGGTTTTGAAGGTCTGAATTTGAGTCCCTTATTGCCCCTTATTCATCTTTAAGATGAGGGTAAAAGCACTTTTGTGTCTCACAAAAGCCCTGATGAAACTCACAGAGATGCACAATACAGAGGTATCAACAGTCAGACTGGGATATAGGGTGTTGACCAAGGATGGGGATTCATCTTGGTGTTCTTCAGCTGTTTAAAAGCAAGGCACTTAGGCTGTTTATTGCCAATGAAGGTCCTCCTGGAGGATCACTGATGGAGTCACCTTCCAAAGTCCCCAAAGTGGGCACAGACCACATGACTGGATTCAACAGTATCTTTTAGATGGCAGAAGTTCAGAGTCACCCTTTCCTTCCACTACAGGAGTATTACACCCAGTATAAGCCAAACCAGCTCTTCTCTTCACGGTGGGTGTTAGTCTGAAGTACCCAGAATGGGCATTTTAATCTAAAGTGTGTGGAGTAGAGGAAGGAAGTCCCTAGAGTGAACAAAAGGGAGGTTGAGATGAAATTACTGTAAATATCCATGAAAACGACCAGTAGAAGGGAATGACCTGATTCCAGACTCAACACATACAAACAATTCTTTCAAAATGGAAAAGTTCTCTTCTGACTTTCGACCAGCTGTAGTGCTGACCCATACTTCTTAGATCTTTGAAATGCCGATGGCTCTGAGGCGTAGAGAAGCAGAGGGAACCCCAGGGACCACGACCCAGCCTATTTGATGCTACTCACATGATGCCACTGCGGAAATAGCTCTGGAAGGTCTCAGACTCGTGGCCCTGCACCTCCCGGTGCTGCACGGGGCTGCCCCGCAGCGCGGTGTCCAGCTGGGTGACGTACATGGCCGCAGCACCTTGCTCATCCTGAGATGAGTCCTTGCCAATCCAGTAATGCAGATCAATGGCGGAGCCACGAGAGGTTCTTTTGGTCTGGAAGAGGTGGGGAAGATAAGTCAGGATGAAGACACAGCCCCTTGGTGTGTTTCGTATATTGCTGGCCAGGGAGATCTGGCAAAACCAAGGGACTACAGAGCCCTTTCTCAGGGCTCTTCCCAGCTCTGCCTTTCTCCTGGGCAAGGGGAGGTGGGACAGAGTCTCAGGATGCTCCCTGAGAGCTCAGCTTGGAGCCAGGGCCTTGTTCAGGAGAGTACTTATGGGGCTTTATGTATGTGGTGAACAGAAGGATGTTTCTCTCTGATATACTTTAATAACTCTTGCTATCAAGGAAAACTGAGCACCAGTGCAATTACAAAAATTAATGCGCTCAACCTGTCCTACTTTTGTAGAGTTTGATATTAGAACTTAAAAGAGACTCTTCTCCTAGATCACCTTTATAAATGCAATGCATTTATTTGCCTGGGGATACGATCCTTTCTTTCCCGTTCTCTTTCTCACGTCCCACTGCACAGTAACACAAACTGCCTCTGGAGTCCTGCTGACTTGCAAACCAGAGAGAACTCCAGAGGAAGCTGAGCCCGCGTCTGCACGCTGTGATTCCTCCTATTACAGAGAGCTCCCACAGCCTAGAAACAGGAGTCAAGAGCCTGAGAAGGGGTAAGCTCCTCCTTAGCTGAGTGGTGCCAGTTATTTCTCAGCACCCACTGCGTTAAGCCCCATCACGGAGACCTGGGAAAGGTAATAAGAGCTCATTTTATAAACTGGATTTGACACTAAGTTCTGTTTATTTGCTTTGTGGGGTGATACTGCAGCGCCAGACACCAGAAGAACTGGAGTCAAATGCAGCTCAGTTCCTCTAGGCACAGCTAATTAATTTGTTTGCAAAAACGCTCAATTTAATACACTGTTATTGAAGATGATCAAAGTCCCCTTGTTCCGTGGATTCTCTCTGTTTGGAAAGCCTCCAGTCAAGATGCAGATGCAAAGATGAGTATTTTTGCCTTCCCATCTGCAGGGGGGAAGGAGAGTTGTGATCAAGGGCTTTTCAACCTGGGGAAGCTATTCCAACATCAGCTGAGCCTGTGAGCATCAAAATCTCTACTGATGTAGTATCTGTAGGCAGCTCCTTGCAAGGACACTCCTGATCTGCTCTAAGCATGTCTTTGTGTAGCTGCTGCCAAACTGATTCAGCACTTGGGAGGTGGCACAAAGGCATGGGCATGGTCAGCCAGAGCAAGGGGCTCATTCTGCATCACTCTCCCAGCCTGCTCTCCTAGCTGGACGTGTAGTGGGTGTACATCTGGTTCTTGTGGGACAGTAGAGGCTTTGCTGCCTCTTGATTGACAGAGATGTTTGCAAGAGGGATACTCAGACCCAGGAAGTGGGAAATACTTCTGGTTTCCACCATATGGACACAGGTCCAATGAGGTCTGGATTGCTCTATGCAGATGAAGAAATTTGGAAGGAAGTCTGGGAGATGAGTGAGACACATCATCTTGCCACAGAGATTCAGGAACACAAGGTGCTTTGTACAGCCCATGTAGTAGAGTTGGTTCTCAGAAGTTCCTCATTCTCCTGGCTAGCCTGGGTGTAGCTGGTTGCAAGTAGATCTGGACCAAATTTGGGAGGGACACATGAAGTGTCCTAATGAAGACATGAGAAGAGCTGCAGAGCCTCTCTGCTGCTTGTGTGACACATAGGAGGTGGCACACCTCCATAACCCACACCATCTGCTGAAACAAGACCCTCCAGTCAGCCAGCTGTCACAAAGACCCCTAGAAGTCCTGCAGACGTGGGCCTTGGGTTAGCTGGGCAGAAAGGTAGCAGCCAGTTTGCCATGTCTGGACATGACTCGCTTAGAAGATAAATAATGTTAGTGAATTCCTAAGTTAATGGTTCCTCTGGAGTTCTGGTTTACTAAACACACAGTGTTTTTGCAACAACCCCATTACATTCAGGTGCATGATTAGGTGGCAAATGCATTGAACCACTTTTACCCACAGGGCTGCTCTCACCCATGAGCAGACCTACAATCCAGGTGGGAGCCAAACAAAAAAGGTTCAACCAGTTGCCTACCAAAGAGACTAATGTTTGCCAGCTTTACTTACGTGTAGAATTATGTAGCAGTCTCCTTCAAAAAAAGTCCCATAAGCCTTTTCAGGTACAGGAACCATCTTCATATTCTGCAAGGAAATGAGTGTTTGTGTCATCGCTAGAACTTCAGAGCCAGAAGGTGATGTGTGTGAAAGAGGACAGCTAGAGTGCATGGAACACCAAGGTGACAATCAGGGTTTGGAGAAGGAAGAATCAGGGCTGTGCTTGTGAGCTGGAAAAAAAACACTCCTGGGGGAAATCCTGAAAGTACTAATGGGTGAGAAAAGGCAAAGGAGAATCACAGAATAATAGAATGGTTCTGGTTGGAAGAGACCTTCAAGATAATCAAGTTCACACATTATCCTCAGCACTTCCAGGCCACCACTAAACCATGTCCCTCAGCACCACAACTATGTGTCCTTTAAACCCCTCCAGGGATGGGCACTCCACCGCTTCCCTGGGCAGCCTGTTCCAGGGCTTGACAACCCTTTTGGGGAAGAAATTGTTCCTCATATCTAACCTAAATCTCCCCTGGTGCAACTTGAGGCTGTTTCCTCTTTTCCTGTTGCTACATGGGAGAACAGACCCACCCACACCTGGCTACAACCTCCTGCCAGGGAGCTGTAGAGAGTGAGGTCTCCCCTGAGCCTCTTTATCTCCAGGCTAAACACCCCCAGGTTCCTCAGCTGCTCCTCATACGACTTGTTCTCTAAACCCTTCACCAGCTTTGCTGCCCTTCTTTGGACGTACTCCAGCACCTCCATGTCCTTGTAGTGAGGGGCCCAAAACTGAACCCAATATTCAAGGTGCAGACTCATCAGTGCTGAGTGATAATGCTGCTTGGGCAAAGTGACAAGTGTTTTTTAGTCTTCTTGCCCTTCTGCAACCCTGTAGGTCTAGAGCAAGAAGACCTGGAGGTCAGGCTGAAGCACTCCAGAGTTTGCATTTGTAGGGAATTTCCCAGGGGAGTGAGCACATCTCTTCCTAGGTTTAGTTTTGGGGCACAGTTTTGACTCAGTACCCGTAAGTTCCAGGGTAACTTTCAGAGCTTTGCTAGGATAACCACTTTGCCAGGGATTCATTTCCAAGCAGTGCTTGGAAAAGACGGACCTGAGGACATGGACGTGTCCCTCACCCCTCCAGATCCTAAATGCACACACTCTGTCTGAGGCACGTGCACAATTACCCAGCCATGCCTGCCCAGCGTAGGTGCCTGGGTGTGCCACCCACCAGTGCACACGCAGCTCCTGGGCATGAGCTGCCTCTGTGGTTCCCTGGAATTAGAGATGTGCATTCTTCTGGTCGCCTGACTTGTTTCCCAGCATAACAGGGTGACCCTCATGAACTCCCACATCTCTAATTACAGATCCTCCGGAAGAAGATTAGTGCAGTGCTTTGGAGAGAAATGGAAAGGCAAAGACCTTGTGATATTTGGAACCTAGCTGGGACCTGCAGAGGGCCACCATCACTTGGGAACACACACTGAAGCCCCTTCCCACTGTTCCACTGAATGGTCTCTGCACCTCATTCTATGCCCCCTCTCTTTGCAGGGGAAAGTTCTGGGTGAATTGAGCCAGAAAAAGGAAGAAATGAGCTCAGTCCAGCCCCAATCCAAAACCAAATACCACCACAAGCAGAAGGTGACCTCAGAATTATTTTCTGGTGTGCTAATGCAGCCTTGCATTGGCTCCTGAAGGGCCTGAGAAAGCCTCCAGTAGAGGGGGATCAGCTTCATTCACGTTGCCTTCATCAATATTATCCCTGTTTTACAGGCAGGAAGCCAAAGAAATAACACATTGAAGGTTGCACAGGGAGAGTTTGTGTCTCCTGTTTCCCACTGTACCTTATCTGTAACACTCTTTTCCCACCCAGATTACTTCAAGAACTTATCTTTCTTGAAACATACACACACAGAGAGGACACATGCCATCATTGCCTCTTGTCATACCTCTATGCCCCATATCTGCAGTCCCAGCTTTCTCTCGATAGGTGGGAGATTTATGTCGACGTCTGTCATCCTGCAGGCTGAGCTAGAAGGAAAAGGAAGAAGAAAAACCAAAATGACTGTATAATTGTATATAAAAGTAATGGTGTCAGTCAGCTGGGTTGCTCTTGCTGTCGGTGGAGGTTTAATACAGACAACTCACACCTTGAGGTCTCTTTTTCCCTGCTATGATGAGGGCACAGCTGTAGCTGTCAACAGCTAGGTGGGATGATCCTCATTCCCAGGGTACCCATGTTCATGGGAGCCAGCCAAAGTGGGGGATCACAGCCTGGCAAAAACTGCTCTCTGGTGTGGGATTATTTTTCCTCTGAATAGGTTGAAGGGATCCAGCAGTGTGTTGGACCTGACATCAGTGCTGCTTTGTTCCCACTGTGGCAGAGACAACGGTGGACCTGCAGGAGACCCATGCCCTCCTGGAGCAGCCACTGGAGGTCAGGTCAGGCATCCTGGGGCACTGGGAGCCTAAGGAATGAAGTTCTTCCACTTCAGGAGGAAATTCAGGTCTAAATTAAGACACCTGCAAGGTACCTCAGGGCAGGGCACCAGGCTCACAGCTCCGTAAAGGTCAGTGGAGACACAGCCAGCGCAGTCAGCAGAGCACAAGGAGCAACCCAACTGATGACCCACGTGTCCACACGTAGCTGAGCAGCTCCTGAGGCTCTCCTGCCTGTGTGGGGAAGAGGCAGGCTTCAGCTGCCCACACTGAAGTGGTTGTGTGTGTGGGGGCAAGACCTGTGTGAGCCATTCCTGCGTGTTGCTGTCCTGTTCACAACCCAGGGCCCAGCTCCAGGAGAAGTCACAGCTCTCTGACTCCTGGCTGGCATTCGTTTGCTTCTCCAGCACACTCCCCTGACTTGCATTTGCTCATGGCAGGCCGAATGGTTGTACTACATTAAAAACAACAGTTTGATTGACTGCATTTTCTCCTCTGCCTCTGGATGAAAAGGCTGCAGTGACTGCAGGCCACGGCCTCTCCTGGGCTCCCCTGCTCAGCCCTAGGAACCCGCCCACGAGAGGGAACGGGGCCACGGAGCCCCAGTAGGATGGAAAATAAAAGAAGCTATTGCACAAAGCCATGGAAGAAGAGTCTTTTGAAGAAGGAAAAGAGCACAGACAGATGATGCCCTGCCAGAAAGCGAGTTTATTGCTCGTGTTATGAGAGCATGGGGAGACATGCTGCACTTGGCACCATCATGTCTTAAGAGGCGATGGTTCTGCTGAAGAGTTTGCACACTGAGAGCACAGAAATTGCTGTTCCAGGCAGGAACACTGGTCCACCCAGATCTCCCACAGCCCAGAGCTGCCAGACACTCGCTCCTTGCACAGGCAGCAGAGTGATGCAGGTACCTCCAGGGGTGTTCTGAGCCCAGCTCCAACACCTCTGTGCTAACTGAGCAGGCACCCACAGGCTGGCAGCACTCAGTAGCAGGAGTCAGACACACCCACTCCTGCCTGAACACAGATACATCTATCTGAAGGACTGTGGAAGTCCATGTGGCCTCATGTACCTACCAGGAGTGAATCCAGCAACCTTCATCTCCCTCTCAGACCCTCCAGATAGCTTCCAGGCAAGAAGACAATCAGCAAGGAGAAAATAAAAAGACATTTTTCATCTCAATTCCCAGAAAGGTAATTGAGACCCACGCAGATTAAAAGCCAGATCCAGAAGATATTTCAGTATCTACAGAGGAGCTAGACACTTTTCTGAACGGGGTCCTGAACAACCTACTGTGAAGTCCAGAGTTATCAGGAACTGAAGCCAAAACCATGATCCCAGTTCAGATCTTTAACCTAAAGACCTTTCTTCTAATACAGCATTCAAAAGGTCCCTGTCAAAGAAAATCCCACGTGAAGCCTCCTTCCTTCAGCTATCTTTTAAATTTATTTAGGGTTTTTCCTTCCAGCATCAAAACAGGAACAGCCTGAAAACAAAGCCAGCAAAGATGTTCAGAAGTGAGAGAGAATTCAGGGGCGTGAAGTTCTTCAGCAAAAGACTGACACTGCTCGCTGTGGAAAACCCAGCAGCTGGCCAGCTGTGAGACACAGCTGGCTCCCACTTCTCCCAGCATCCCAACCTCTCCCATCAGGAGAGTTAACCCAAAGGATGCTGAGCTTCCTCTGAGCATGGACAGCCGTGTTGGACAAACCCTCAGAGAGCCAGCAATGCTTTGTGGGTTCCCACCCAAAACTCTGACTCAAAATAGGGATCTTGGGTCTTCTCTGCTCCAGGGGCTCCTGGCTCCATCTGAAACCTGCCCATGAGTGCTGGTCCACACTTTTCTGAGAAATGCTGTCCCTCCCTTCCTCCTCAGTCATGAAGGTGGAGGGGAGCATGAAGCACAGACAATGTTGGCCCTTTCTTTGGACTTTCCAGCATCTTTTGGCTGATGGCCAAGTTAGAAATAATAGGAATATGACTTACATAATCAGCTCATTTCATTAATGATTTAATGTGGGTTTTTAATCAGATGATCCCATAATTCAACTCCTGCCCAGACACAAAATCCAGTATTTATGGAGTGAAAACTTCCCATCTGTGCAGAAACCAGGAAGGGCAGAAACTTTGATAATTTAAAAAAAAATAAAAGGGATGTTGAGAGGCTTGGGTTCGCTGTGGGATTCGAACAGAGATGTCTGAGACATTTCCTACCTCAATCAAACCAGTTTTGCCCAGTGCTAGGTGAAACATAACTGGCAAGAAACATGAGTCAGCCACCCCTGGGGCAGGTATTCAGTGGAAAATGTCTGGTTATGGGGGTGGACATTTGCTTCCTTGTACACACACACAGCTTTACCTCTGAAGGGGAAGAGAGGCACTAAGGAAACTGTCACTCCTCTCTTTCCCTCCATGTTAGTAACATGCAACTACCCAACTTCAACCTCCAGGGCCAGCTACCCAATTTCCACCATTTCCAGGGACTCTTGCAACCATGGAAAGAGGAGACAAGTTCACACCACGTGAGCGTGAGCTGAGAGGCAGCCACAGCAAAGACAACTTCTGGCTTGGAACTGCTCTGCCAGGTCATCACCACTAGGTTAAGATGCTATGAATTAAACTGCAAAGGGGAAATGCTGCTGCTGAGTGAGGGCAGAGGGCTTGGAAACCAAATATCAGTGGCTGGCATCTTGGCTGGATGTCACAGCAGGGACAACCTGGAGCCTCCAGGGCTAGGAGTAAAGCCTTCCCTGATGCAATCTGTGTAGCAGAGCTGGTGGGTGAGGGCAGCTGGATCTGTTACACCTACTCCCCTCCATGCACTGCCAAAATCACAGCAACACTCCCGCTCCCTAAACACGATCCCCTTCCCCTCTCCAACCAGCACCGTGTGGGGAAAAGCTTTGCCTTCAAGGACGACTAGATGACTAATTAAGTGTCAAGGTCACTCCCAAGACTGGTTAATGAGTAACAGTTGGTGTGGAAAGTGCCAGCAATCACTGCTCCATTTGGGTCAGCCCGGTAGGTGTTGGGGAAGCAGACCTAGCAGGACATTTCTTGGGGCAGACTCGGGCTGTTTGGGTGGGGAGGGAAAATAAGGACTCAGCAGAGGGATAGGAGATCGTTTCAACCTCCTGGAGTACGTTCTGAATTAAGGCTGATTTGGCTTGTCTGGGTTTTGGCGGCACACTTACTGGGCTGTAGTCACAGTAATAAAAAAACCCCAGTGAAATGAGTAATGCTCTGTACAGCTTCGGGAAAATAGGAAGCAGCTGTGGCTCCAGCCTTTCCAGGCTGAAAGGCCTAATTATTGGGAATACTTGGACTGGCATTAGATGAGGTAAACCAGGGCTGTTGAATTGCTTCCATTGTCTCCATTATAGTTGGGCATCTGGGCCCAAGTAGGTGCCATTTTTGTTTTCAGAAAGGACAGCAGTTAACTCTTGTTTCGCCTAGAGGAATGAAATTCGGGGTTGAGCTGCTTCGTGTGGCTCTTCAGGTACTGCTGGGGACCATTGCTCTGGATGGTGACTGTCTCTACAGAGTGACAGTCCAGAAGTACAGCACTCAGCCAATATAAGCTTTTATTTTCCTGTAGCAAGAGGAGAAGTGGCTTTTATCTCATGTGGGAATGGTTGGTAGGGAGGTCCAGCAATGGGCCTTGTCTTTGTCATCTTATTGTACACTCGGCCAGATAATAGCCTCCTCCAATTTTGTGGCAGGGGTGGAAA